GGAGACTGGACAGATATTTGGCTGGGATGATGTGACCCTGGCACCCGTTCCTGCCCAGGGCAGGGGGTCGGACCTGATGATCTGTTTAGGTCCTTTCCGACCCTAAGCACTATGATACTATGGATTTCGTGGCCAGAACGCTGGCTCTTTTCACAGAGACAATGCTTCTCCTGTGGCTTTTGGCATGGGCAAGAGTGTCCATGGCCATACTGCTGGGGGGACCCTTCCCCCAGCCTGGACACTGAGCAGGGGGCAGTTGCCTGGCTGTGGCAGAGGCCCCCTGATCAACTGATCAGGAAGACTGAGTAGGGAAAAGTAGGCTGAACACCCTGACAGGCTATTAGGGAGCCAGCCACTCTTCCTTCCTTTCTGGGGCCTCTGCCACAACAGAGCACTATGGGGAAACTGGCAGTGTCTCAGAGTGGCGCAGCTGTTAAATCTGTGGTGCTGTTTCAGACAGCAACTTTTTTGTCTTGGATTATTTTTGTGTCTCTTCAGCCATTTTCTTTAAATGGGAAAATGGTGTGAACGTATGGCTGTTTGCATTTTGTCCTATTAAGCTTGCATATAAATAGTAACAAAAATAATTTCTGTTAAAGCCCTTAGACTATTTATTGGTCCTCAACCTTTTTGAATTTGGAGCACCCCTCATTGAACTTAAGGCACCCATTCATAACTATTGTGAATTGTGGCATCCTGATACAATAACTCATTTATGTACTGTAGTACTTACATCCTTGTAGAGGGGCGGGGCAGTGGGGGTGGGGCATCACCCAGGTAGGGACAGACCTGAGGCTGCACTTCTCTGCTTATCTCCTCGCACTTTGCGGCACTCTTCACAGGTTTTGCTGGCACCCGGGTTGAGAATCATTGCGTTAAGGCACCTACGCACCTGCCAGATCCCTATTCCAATGCTTGCTAATTAGTGTGCATTGGAGCAGACTCGCTTAATCGAGTTTGCTGGAACATGCTAATTAGCATGCTTCAGCAACTTTGGCGTCATGTGTATTAAGCATCTCTGCACTTCAAAATGGCTGCAGGGGCGCTTTAACTAAAGCTTGTTGTATGAGTGAATTAGCATGTATCAGAGCAGGCGTCTGGCATATGTGTAGGTACCCTGAAGACCAGCTGGTTCAGAGAGCCACAGGCAATTGCACACTCAAGTTGACTTTTAAAGTTTTTTGTTTAAGAACAACTACTCTGAGGTCAGTGATAGAATGTCCAGGACAGTGAAAGTGTTCTGCTGTGGGGTTTTCTGTGTTTCTGGAATTGAAGCTAAATTGGTGTCCGTTCATTCTTCTGTGTAGGGATTGTCCTGTCTGGACAGCAGAGGGACACTTTAATCAGGGTGGTGTATATGATGTCAGTGGGTGAGTAGATGAATGAACTACAGATGTTAAATTTTTGTTGCTTGGTCCAGTGATGAAGGGGGTCTGTGTTGATGAGGGGACACAACTAACATCTTTCTCTACCTTTGACTGATTTCAGATGAACATGCCTTACCACCCCTGCCTACCACACAATACAGAAATTTTAATTGTGATCTTGTGGGTCCGCTATACTTGTCAGGGTATGGCATAAGAGATTAGCCTTGATTGTATTATGGCAATGCCTCTCCATTCTGTCATTTCAGGTTGAAAAAGACCTCACTAGGGTATAGTGACACAGTTAGCTTTGCCATGGAAATAGGGCCCCTGAACATCCTTCAGAAACGAGCTTCCTGGGGAAGGTAAGCTTGTTGTAGCATTTAAGTAATACATAACATTTAAAGTAGTGAAACTGAATGACTTTAAAAGTAAATAAATGACATTAAAAGTAAACTGGGAAAAGTTATGGGGTTGCCTTTCTACCTAATGTGTGCATTAGGAAACGTGATCTCTGTGTTAGAAATGTTTTTACACTGTGCTATTGCTCTCTAGTACTGTAGTGCTTAGTTCTTGACCAGGACTCCACTGTGCTCTGTAAACGCAGGACAAAATGTGGTCCCTGGCTTAAAGCCCTTACAGTCATAATAATGTGGGAGGGTTGAAAGGTGGAAGTCTCACAGCTAATTCATTTTCTTATTTGAATATAAAATGCATGTTGCAGAGTAATCTTTATTTTGTTTCACAATAATTAAATTAAACAGATAAGAACACTGAAAGAACAATAATAAAATGAAAGTGTTAATAGCTTGTCTGTCTTTTGACTTTCTCAAAGAGGAAAAATATTTAATAGTTTGTTTTATGGCTGTGTAAACCCTATGCAATGATTGTGATCACTTCACAATAATAATATCCCAAATCTTGGAGATAGTTTCAAAATTAAATTCTAATTTTAATAAGCATGTATAAGAATTTTCTTCTTTTTTAACACTGGATATGATTTGCCCCTGTTTTTTCCAGGGTACAATATGTTGTACAGTATATCTTGGCTATTTATTATTCAAATAAAGCAAATTAATCTTTTCAGATCTCTGGTGATTACTTTATAGGAATGCAGTGTAATTCAGTTTGGAGAAACTTGGTTTATGGTAATAGAATGGAAGCCCTGTAACTCTTTGTACATTGTAATGTACACATTACCGCTCTAAATTCTAGAGAAGCTGTACTGCACAATATTGTCTTCTGCAAAATAGAGTTCTATTGCGCACACAGTTCTTTAAATTGACTTCCATTAAAACGCTTCTTCAGGCTGCCAAAGCCTATAATATAGGCCTTGCAAAATAACTTGAACGACAGTTAGAGGGGGAGAATCGGAGAAGGAGGGCTGGAAGGCACCTCCGGAGATCATCTAGTCCAGCCCCCTGCCTAAAGCAAGATCATCCATATCCAAACCATCTTATATAAATCCATTGTCTAACCTGTTAGCAAAACTGCACAATCAATCCTGACAAAATCACGGGGCATAACACTCTAACGTGCTACGGGTAAAGCAGTGACTGCGGCAGCCAGTGTCCTGCTGCTATAAAGTTGTTAAACGCTTGTGAGATAAAAGGAAGAGGGCCATGCCCTTTACTATAGAAGAAGGCAAACCCCACCACAGTCCTGAAAATCCCCAACCTTTCAGAGATTCACCATCTGGATTCTTGGTTGGGTACAAACATTCAAAAAGCTTGAGGAGGAATTGATCTAGGTTGCATGGTTTTCTGTAAGCAGTGCAGTATAGATTTGTAGCAAACAGAACACACGTTCGCGCTTTTGGGGGCGAGGGTGGTGCAGATCTTAGACTGGGTTTCCCGCTGTTTTTAAACCAGCCAGGGTGAGACAAAAATCTGTTCTGTTACAGCTATAGACCAGTTTTCAGTCACTTATACTGGTAAAGGTATAATGTCTGTACTTGGCCCTTATGACTGAACCAGGATCATATTGTAATCTACCATTTGGTAGGAACTGAAGAAAACTATTCTTATCTTGTGCTGTTGAAACCTTCTCTAACTTTAGACTGCTTAAGGCATTTCATCTTCTGGTTTCAGGACTCCTAATACCAATCATATTGTAAAGCATTGCAGCATATATTAAATGCACATTTGAATATAAATAAGTATTGTACTTCATCTGCCATTCTTTAAGAAAACTGCTTTTCATTATATCGGATTTTAGAATGAAATACTCAGTTTATGCATTTCTAAGAAACTCATCACTTCAGTATTTACTTGATGTCTGCTAAAGAAATCATTTGTCTCATTCTTTTTGAAGAGGAGCCCACATTGCAATGTTCCCGCGTTCCATTTGGTATTCAAAAGAATTGTTTTCACCTTTAGGAATGTTTACAAGGTGTTGGACCATGCTAGGAAACACTGCTCTGAAAACATGCCCCAATCTGTGTGTGTCAGATAGCGGAAAAAATAACACACCACCTTTTTGGTGTGTTCCCAGAACTGCTCTTAGTCTTGGTCATGCTTATTAGAGTGGCAGCAGGTGAAAGAATAGGAGCAGCAAACAGGGCAATTTGCAAACAGTTCACTAAAAGCAAGAGGAGGAAGATCCAGGCACCAGATCCTCCTCCAGAAAGGTAAGTGAGGCAGGGCTGCCTGTGTGTTTGCCTTGCTGAGTATTTGTTTGGTGGGCTGTATGTGTTTTAGATGTGTGCTTTGATTACTGCCTGAGTCTGACAAAAGCCCTAACAAGGGGCTGGAGACATTCCAGGCAGGGTATAGAAGGAGACTAGGAAGCGAGGAAATGAGCAGCAAGCTGCAATTTGCAGGTAGTTTGCAGGTCAGTTTGCAGCTACTTTTGCCACCTCCCTTTTTAAAATGGAGTCATAAGGTAAGTCTTTTCTTTTTATAAAAGTAGCCAACCTACATATATTAAGTCAGGGGCGGGCAATTATTTTGGGCAGAGGGCTCCTTACCCAGTTTTGGCAAACTGTCGAGGGCCACATGGGTAGCCCCACCCCTTGGCAGGTGACAGTGTCCCAGTGTCTTCGGACCAATGTCCCAGGGCCAGCACCGGTGAGGCCCAGAGCAGGGTGCAGGCTGGCAGGGGTCTGTGGAGTTGGGCTGGTCTGGGCTAGGCTACACCAGTAGGGAGAGTGGGGAGCTGGCCTGGCTCCATAGAGCCCCTGCTGCCCTGCTGTAGGCCCCGCTGGTCCTGGGACACACCGGTGTGGGCCCCGTGCTCCCACTGACTCCCTGCCTGCTCACTCCCAGTGTCCCCAAGCCCCGTGGTACAGGCAGGGGGCAATGTGCAGCCCTGAGTCCCTGCTCGCCGGTCGGGGAGGAGCTGGTGCTGAGCATGGGGAAAAGTGGCTCTTCCCCTGCCCTGTGCCTGGCACTCCCTCCTGCAG